GCCCTCGCTACGTACTTTTATGCGATGCCTGCAGCATCTGGAATAAAGAAATAAAAACGGCTAAAACATCTTAACAGTGGGTTCCAACTTAAGAATAACATACTAATAGAAGCATTTTTTAAAGATATTTTTCATTGAAAACTGGTGGCTTGATCAAAATGATGGATACACGTTTATGAAGGCTTCATGAGCATAGCTGACACTGATATTTCATTCTATTCAGGTAATAAGACTCTTATATTCCATACTTTGTTCACTACAAAAAATATCTTAGTGGTTTATTTGATAACATTCTAGTCATGAACCCTAGCTTAATAAGAAACGTAGAAGTCAAGTTGACTGAAGTCAGCAGCTGTAGCCTGGCCTGAACATGAGACTTTCAACTACTTGTGATTAATTGATGCATATTTTTAAGTTGGGCTAATTTAAAAAATCTAGAGACTTCATGTAAATGGTTACCAATGGAAATCCTCACTCAGAAAAATAACAGCAATCTTACAATAAAAAAAACAAAATAAAATATAGTCGGAAAGCTGCGGATTCTTTAGAATTGATAAAATCAAGAGAATTTATAGATTTCTAGCCTGTCTATCTTGTCCCTATATACAAATGAAGGCTAATTTATTAACCTAAGCTGGGGACATGGTTTGTAACTCTATCTTCTTCTTCTAATCCCACTTTGGAATTAGATTAATGTTATAATAAATTTGGTTAGGGATATCTAGTTCCCAGTCTCTAAAACAGCTTCTCATAAAATAATTATAAAAACAATTTCCGATGTTTAATCCTTAAAAAAAAAAAACACAACTCAACACTAGGAATCATTATCTATTTACATGCAAATCAGGTGAACTATTTTTAATAATATTTGGTAGTTATATAGCTCTGACATATTCCACAATAAAGGGGATAAATTGAAATAATATGTACTAATATGAGGAGCAAAAGATCCTGCCCGTGAGCTTACAATCTAGCAAATACAGTATTTATATACAAATATCAAAAGGTAATAAGTAAATAATGGTTGCAGGGTATACTTGAAGTAATGGCCAGGGAACAGGGAGAATATGCAAATACAGCATTACTTGTGAGGTAATTAAATAGTTAAGATTAAAGACAGATGAAGGATCAAGCTATAAAGAAAGGTGGAGCAAGGGTGGTTGGTTAGTGATAGCAAACCTTTTGGTTTAATTGCTGAGGAAATCAGGATTGTGAATCTCAAAGTAATAGATTGGTGTTATTCCTAACCACACAGATGTATTGTTTTAGGAATGCCTCTATGTTATATAATATTTTGTCCCAAAATTTATATAAAAATTAAAATATAATAAATTATGGGGGTTGCATCAGCAAGAATATACAAGCGTACTGCTTACTACTTGACTCCCGAACCGACAGACCGGTCTGGAAACGTGACTGCTGGTCTTCTAAGACACTCTTGAAGCAAAGCTCAACTGAGGCCTAACTACCACTGTGGTAGGGAGCCTTGCAGTCCCAAGACACGCATAGGAGACAAGCAGAGAGACGGAGTGTCGGAAGTGAAGCTACCTGATAAGCAGCTGAAATTGCTAGATCAGTTCCTTCTGATACATGCTGTGTGGGACTGTATATTCCCTATCAGGGGGATAGGCTGACTGCCATAATAAGCATCATACTGCATGATATGTCTCAGTTGGCTGAAAAATGTAGTGATGTGCTCTCATCTGTTCTCTCTTGGTTATGCCTTCTCTACTTATTACAATTTATTTCCTTATCGGCTCCCTGCACTGGCATAACCCAGGTGCAGGCACTAATTAAGGTCTGCTATTTAGTTGGGGTTCCTCGAATTTGCTGCTGGAGCTGGTGCTGTCTTGGTGGTACACCTTATCGTTCCTTTACTTAAACCATGTCTAGCTATGCAAGTTACTCATTTAGTTAACCATCTAGCATAAGACATGTAAGGTTCGCCTGTTATATAATCTATACTCCCTCATGTTTTCCGTATAATTCTATATAGTCATATAGTGCAGTAAGCTTGATTATCCTCACAGTCTGTGACTATCACTGTGACTATCCAAGTTTATATTGTGTAAACAACAAAAAAGAAAGAATTATTTATATATATTTATATATATATATATAGTGTGGTTAGGCACCCGGCTATATATATATAGTGTGGCTAGGCACCCGGTGTCATTTGGCTGGAGGTAGGAGTGCAGAGGCTAATATTATTTTAATATATATATATAATAAATTACTTTCATAATGTGGTGACATTCACCCTCCATTTAAATGTTTCATTAATGGGTGCTCCAAGAAAAGTAACATAAAATTCTCTAATGTAAAAAATATATATAAGTACCTACCTGTGTTCCTACATAATAGAAAATACTCTAAATGATTGTGGTAAAAGCATTCACACTTGGCAGGTAAATTTGCACTTTGAAATAGATGATTAAACCAGAGTAATCTGGCATTATAAGGACAAACTTTTGGTGTATACAGCCATTATGCTAATAGAAACCAGATCACGTTGCAATACTTCATAACCTTTACTTGTAGTATTAATCCTACTCAAATCAGACCTGGAGCACTCTAAAGATTTAAACCTATAAAATAAATCATTCTATGTTCACCTTTTCTATAATATCCACTGCTGTTACCTAATGCCATAGGGCTCAAACTCTCATCTACAACAATAGAACTGAGTTCTCAAAAATAAATAAATAAAACATAAACACAACGCACTTAAAAAGAAAAATGATCCAATACACACGAAAATGTACAGCATTCTTCCAGCTAGACAATCTGGATTCGGAATTGGCTAGTTAATATACACTCCTGTTATCAAGAGTCCAGCCAGTAATAACAATAAATAGGAAGATTTTAATGATTAAGAAACATCCTACTTTAAAAAAAAAACATATATAAATGAAACCAAGAAGGCTGCACTCACCTGGACATGCATACATTATAGGGTGCTGCTGGAGCCAATATATACAACATACAAAATACACAATCCCGCGCACTCGCTTATTCACTAAACAATGCTTTCAAATCTCAGATTGTAGTAGATTTATATAAAAACACCTCACCTAGGCAAAAAATAATGGGGGGCTTAGTTACAATATATGATCATATATTGCATAAGCCTGCCACAACGTCAATATACCCCATTCTTGCAGGTCCTACTCAAGCAGCCTAATGCCTGGCCATATATAAGGATATGGAATTCTCTGCCTGAAGAGGTGGTTTTATCAGAGTCCATGCAGATGTTTAAACTGCAATTGGATACATACTTGCAAAAACATAACATACAGGGATATCATTTCTAATTAGTGGGGTAATAGCTGCTTGATCCACGGAGATATCTGACTGCTATTTTGAGGTCAAGAAGGAATTTTTTCCTAGTTTGTTGCAAAATTGGAAGCGCTTCAGACTGGGTTTTTTGCCTTCTTTTGGATCAACAGCAAAAACATATGTGAGGAAGGCTGAACTTGATGGACGCAAGTCTCTTTTCAGCTATGTAACTTTGTAATGTGTGTGTGTGTATATATATATATACACACATATACATATATATATATATACATATACACACACACCAGAATAATAGTGAATTCTATAGGAACACCTGGAAACTATAACAACATCATAGAACTAAAGTTGCTATGGTTTCCTAGCTGAAACCATTAACAAAGTGTTGAATCCAGCATTGGTCATCTCTGCCCATTTCACTTTAGTCCGAAACAAGGGTACTGCTGAAAAGTTGAAAGCATCAGCGTTGGTAGCTCCCTACTCACAAAGCCGTCTGAGAAACTTACAGTGCACTCTTAGCCTATTAGCAGTACCCTGTTCCATAGCATCCTGATTCAAGCCCTAGACAGAACCAGAAAGATGGGTAGAGCTGTCCAGCACTGGATTTAACTCTTTGGGGTTAAACTATCCATTAACAGTTTAACTCCTGACGGTAAGCTGGCACCAGGGATCTCCTGGCACCATAACAACTTATTCTGGTACCAGACTGTTCCTTAATAGTGGATCAATCCAGTTACATATGTTTGTAAAAAGCAAACTACTTGTATCATAAAGCTATGTAGTGCAGAAAGTACAAGAAGAATATGACTCATGTTATACATAATACATACACTGAGCTCTTGGGTAATATAATTCCTGTCTATGGATGTGTGTGTAGTTCTGAATTTCCCAGTAATGGCAAAGTATAGCATGCAATAACATAAAGAAATTTGGAAGCAGTTTTAGTAACATAAAAATAGAGATCTACACAAATTCAGATTTGAACGAGTAGTTCAGTGATCAGGTTTTGGATAGCTCTAGAAGCATCTCTAGTAACACAATCTTTACTAAACTATAAAGATGGTTTATTGAAATAAATGCTTGTAGTCCTTTCAATGTAACATTTTTAGGCTATTTATTTTAGTCGTTCTACTTTTTTAAAGGGACATTGCTGGCTGGCATTGGTTCCATTTTAATGCAAGATAGACATAATGCATTCAAAATATGCAAAAAGTACCCAAAAATAAAATAAAAAGATATCTCTTACCAAAATTTGTATCTTTATATGTGATGAGTTTATACAGTAAATACCCATCTAAGAGGATTGTGGGATATGCAGCTCAGAACTTGTTTGCAGTTCCATTCATGAAAATAAAATACGGCATGCAGTTATGGAGAACTTCAAATGCTACTATAAATAAGCTCTTTCATAGAAATCAAGGGAGTCTGTGAGAGGAGGTGAAATGCGTCCACATATGTCCATTATAGGCAACTAACAGCATTCAACTTTTCATAAATGAAAATTGCTCCAGTTAGAAAACAACAGAATACAGAGAAACAGGTACTGGGGACACCCTTGCATGAGTGGTATGGGAGATGAATCCCCTAAGAAAAGTGTAAGAAAAAAAAATACTTCCACTGAAAGGTCTCAGTCTTAAAAGTTATCATAAACAATGTTGTATTTAAATTGTCAGAGGAACTTAAACCCCTTAAGGACACATGACATGGCAATCATGACATGTGTGACATGTCATGATTGCCTTTGATTGAATAAAAGGCAATCATGACATGTGTGACATGTCATGATTGCCTTTTATTCCAGAAGTTTGGTCCTTAAGGGGTTAAACAACTCTGCCCAATGTATTTATTTGTCTGTGCTAGTATGTATATGTTTGTGTGCACTGTCTCCTCCTTGCACCCACCCTAGTATGCAGGGCCAGAGTAAAAAAAAAAAAAAAGGCCCTGGTATTTTTGAATCACAGTGGCCCATGAAGAAGGGCCCGGGGCCAGTTAGTGGGTGTTTTGTCATCACCAAAGAAGAGCATGCCCCCTCTCAAAGTGTGCATGTTGGTTCAATGCGCAGAGCCTGCTGAAGAGCTCTTGCACATGGAAAAGGCCTTGTATATTTGTTCTGCGCAACACAAGCATATTTATTAACATGCTTGCACTGTGTTTGCTGGTGACTTATCTCTGATGTCTCCATAAGCGGGATACCCGAGGACAAAAGGGTCAGGAAATCATATTGTGCATGTGTTACATTGTATACAATTTCAAATAAATAGTATACAAACATAGCCAGGATTCAGCTATAAGCATTTGCAACACTTACAACAATCAAGTAACATACATTCATATAAAATTTAAGTTACTTAGCCAGTCAGTGTAATGACAGGAATGAATAAGTAGATAGCTCCCTAATACCATGGGAATTGGGGAGTTATCTACTAAAAGGCTGAAAGACCTGAATTGGTCTTACAGCCAAATTTACTAATACTAGGTACAGATTACTTAGTATTAGTAAATTATGCCCCTACTCGCTATACCGCGAGTAGCGGCATTTCTATTATACAGTGAGCAGCCACTCGCGAAGTGCTAGTGGGGGCTTTTAAACTAAAGGGGAGACCCGCTGCTCAGGGGTGGGGGCCAGGGGGGGAGGACATTAGGTGTCCCCCCAATTTGTATTTAGGGCCCCCACCCACCGCTCAGGGGTGGGGGACACGGGGGAGAACATGAGGTCCCACCCCTTATTCTTGTTTAGGGCCCTCACCCACCGCTCAGGGGTGGGGGCCAGGGTGGAGGACAATAGGACCCCCTTATTCTTTTTTAGGGCCCCCACCTGCTGCTCAGTTGTGGGGGGCCGGTGGGGAGGACAATAGGTCCTCCCCCCTTTTTTTACTTTAGGGCCCTCACCCACCACTCAGGGAGTGTGGACCCTGTTTTTTTTTGTTTGTTTTTTTAACAGTGAGCAGCCACAGGCTGCTCACTGTTTAATAGACATGCTCCTACTTGCGGTATAGCGAGTAGGGGAAAAAATTTACCAATACTAAGTAATTTTTACTTAGTATTAGTAAATTTGGCTGAAAGACCAATTTAGGTCTTTCAGCCTTTTGGTAGATAACTCCGTAATACCATGGGAATTAGGGAATTATCTACCAAGCGGCTGCAAGAAAAGTCCCGAAATGCTTGAAATTCCGAAGTTGCCGAAGTTCCGAAGTGCCGAATTGACGAAGTCCCAAACTGACGAAGTCCCGAATTTCGGAATGTCGAACCGAGCCAAATATTTTCCCCATGCACATGCCTAATGTGAACAGTAAGCTGATTGTGGTGTGGTTTTTCTGTGTAAATAGGTCAGTTATATTGTATAGCAGCAAATGAGATTTCTGGCATTTCTTTCTTGTATGTGCACCAGCTAAACCTTTCCAAACCAGAGTCTCTTCTTTCTGCTCGTAGATGCAAATAGAACGGGGAATGTAGCAAAGCAGAGCTTTACAGATAAAATCTTTGTATAAAATCCAATGGAGCAATATAAAAGAAAAAAAGAAAAAACGGGACAAGAATGCAAATATAGTGTAGTATGTCTTATAGAAGTAGAGGAAAAAACAAGGAAAAGTATTGCACTTACACTTTTCTGGAGCTAAAGATCAGCTCCAGATCACAGCGTTTGGATGGCATAATCCCCGTCTATGGATATAAAGATGGTGCTGATCTCTGCTGGTATCGTGTCTTTATGCCAATAATCCACATTGTGTATCCAGGATAATGCTCCAGTCATATGCAGAGAATATAAAAAATACAAAAATAACAAAAATAGTGCTCTCTGTTTTTATAAAACAAATAAAATAAAAAAGGAGATATACTCACAATAGATGAGCAAATAGTTATTGCTCAATCCTTAACAGCATAGGTGGTATGTCCCCACCCGGGAATATGAGACTCAGCTTCTCCAATAAAAGATGTTCAAGGAAGGTCCAAAAGTAAAATACAAATGAATTTTATTGCTAAACAAAATTAAAAAAGAAAATAAGTAACACACTAATGCATTTCACCTTGTGGAAGTAGACAAAAATATTACCAGGTTCAATAAAAAGCGTTTAATTGACCATTACAATACACAGAGATATCTCATGGAGATTGGCAAGAAGCAATCTAACATCATGTTACAATTCCTCATATTTTATACATATGACCCGGAACTGGCCTTTCGTTTAGCTTGAATCAGAACTCCAAATATGGTCTTATTTCCTATTGGCTAAATTCTAGTATAACTGACAAATTTAAGGTTCAAAAGTTTAAGCATCCCATGATCTTTCTAACAGATGACTTGACCACAGTCATGCGTCTTACTTCGCTAAAATATCGCTTGTCTATGATAAAAGTTAACACATATAAGACTTCCTCTTTCACAACTTAAGCACACATTTCACCTTTCCCCCCTGGCAACATCTGACAAGACACGCTTTCAAAATAACCTTTCCTTTTGCAATCCAAAAAACAGTCCAGACATCCATTAATAAATTGTAGCAATAAAACATAGTTTCTTCTTATTTCTTAGAGTAAATATTCTTCTTTGATTATATTTTAAGATGATGAATAAACAGCAAAATGGCTGACAGCATGTCAGTAGCAGGTTACATATGTTCACAGTCCTCCCTTTGGTGCTAGGACTTTCACCACAAAAAGCTCCGTGCAACACTTCCATGTTTAGCGAAGGTCATTCAGTGAGCTAGTGATTTTAAACAGCACTTGCAGGACTTTCCATATAGATGCGCACACGATCAATATCTTCAGAGAAAGCATGTCTGTATTCCAAGTCGGTATGAGTTGTGACCGGATAGGAGACATTTCAACATTCGAAATTGTGCCAGGGGGAGATGAAGGTGAACAGCTCTTGAGGATTAATCGGCACGAACACTTTAGGACATTCACTGCAACATATATAAAGACAAGCATCAATACTACTAAAATAACTCCAATGAGAATACGTTTTCCCATTGTTCCCAACCAATTAGTTAAACCAAAACTCCAGTCAAAACCCCAATTTAGACCTCCCGAAGAAGTATTGTGAACTTCTCTAAGTTTAATTTGTAGTTCATGCAATTTATCTACATCTGTATGAATCTGACCAGTAACATTATCTATCTTTAAACGACATCTTGTTTTTATCAGTGCACAAACACCACCTTCGGAGGCCAACAAATAATCTAGGGCAAACCTATTTTGCATAATCATAGCTGAAGCTTGTTCCTGTTCTGCAGACAATTTTTCAATAGCATCTCCTGTATTATTAAAGGCTTCATCTAGTATATCTCCTAACAAGTTTAATTTGTACATTAATTCAATAACCCCCCCTTTAGGTACAAAACCTGCAAATAGCGTATCTCCTTCACCAGATTTTACAGTTCTTTCGGTTTTATCTTTTTTGGAACTAATAGCCTTTCTTTTATTCCTCACCCTTCCTTCAGGCAAATTTTCATGAAGGGTTGACACTGGGATAATATTACCTAGATAACAAGTTTCCACCCAATTACATGGAAGTCTTTTTACCGCCCAACTACCACATAAATAGTATACCCCAAATGGAAGATGAATATCAATAACACGAGAATCTGAGCAGTCAAAAATAGGTTGATTAATATAGGGCAGTAGCATAAAAAGATTGGAAGTTAAAGTTTGAGTATTAAAGTAGGCCCATCTCAAAATAGTGACATTTAAATGTTCATTCTGATCATAATTATTATCCATGATTTCTACCTCAGAAGTCAAATTTACCCATACATGATTAGTATTCACCGGGATTCTATCCTTGATGGGACATTTTGTTAAAATATCTTCTAATAAGGGTTTCCAACAAAAAGCTTTCAATCTACCAGTACAAGGGGCAGAATTAGTTTCAGACCCACATAGATTATAAAGGACATTGTTTTCAAAAATAACAATAGCATTGCTTATAGGCTTAACAATCTTGTCAGGACTTTTCTGATCCCTGTTAGAAATTACTACTGCTCTGCTAGTAATAGGATATGTTAAATGAACCTTAGCAGGTTCGCCAGATTTGGATACTTCATTCTGAATAAATCCAACAAACCCCGTTTTATTTGCTCTTATTTTCTCACAAAGAGATTCCATAGACCATGGCACCCCCACAAAAGGATAACCATAGTTCATGGAATGCGGAGCAAACCCACAAACCCAACAATGATTACTTTTGTTTGACAATTTATACAATTCAGTAGCTGTTTTAACAAAATGATTATCTATCTCCCATGAAGAAAAATACTTGGCTCCCTGGCCCAAGCTACACGTGTATTAAAGAAAAAAAAAAAGAGGAGCTAACGTAGTGTAGAGGATGAAAAATAAAAAAATGTCATAATGACAATCATTAAGGACAATATAAGTTTAACCAGTTTGAGATTCATGAAGAAAAACAGTAGAGTTGACTTTGGATTAGAAAGATACTCCCCTTAAAAAGTACCCCTTTTTAGAAGGGAAAACGGCTTCCTTAGTCCTCTATTCTTCTTCCAGTGAAAAAATCTTTTCCAGCGCTTGTCAGTTTACAATGGGAAATGTGGATCCAAGATTTAACCCCTGCGACTTTAACAGCTGAATTAGTGGTTAATAACACTTGACAAGGTCCTTTCCACCTTGGTTGCAACGCGTGCTTTCGTGAATGATCTTTTATCATAACATAATCTCCAGGAGCGATGGCATGCAAAGGTTGGTATTCACTTGTTCGCTGTACAGCTTTTACCTGCATATAGAGAGACTAATCGTTTTGTTAGCTACATGCAATACGTCATTACTAAATCATCATTT